ACTCCACCAGCTGACCATATATTACTCCACCAGCTGACCATATATTACTCCACCAGCTGACCATATATTACTCCACCAGCTGACCATATATTACACCACCAGCTGACCATATATTACATATATTACCACCAGCTGACCATATATTACTCCACCAGCTGACCATATATTACTCCACCAGCTGACCAGCTGACCATATATTACTCCACCAGCTGACCATATATTACTCCACCAGCTGACCATATATTACATATATTCCACCAGCTGACCATATATTACTCCACCAGCTGACCATATATTACATATATTACTCCACCAGCTGACCACCAGCTGACCATATATTACACCACCAGCTGACCATATATTACTCCACCAGCTGACCATATATTACTCCACCAGCTGACCATATATTACTCCACCAGCTGACCATATATTACTCCACCAGCTGACCATATATTACACCACCAGCTGACCATATATTACTCCACCAGCTGACCATATATTACTCCACCAGCTGACCATATATTACTCCACCAGCTGACCATATATTACTCCACCAGCTGACCATATATTACTCCACCAGCTGACCATATATTTACACCACCAGCTGACCATATATTACTCCACCAGCTGACCATATATTACTCCACCAGCTGACCATATATTACTCCACCAGCTGACCATATATTACACCCACCAGCTGACCATATATTACACCACCAGCTGACCATATATTACTCCACCAGCTGACCATATATTACACCACCAGCTGACCATATATTACTCCACCAGCTGACCATATATTACTCCACCAGCTGACCATATATTACTCCACCAGCTGACCATATATTACACCACCAGCTGACCATATATTACTCACCACCAGCTGACCATATATTACTCCACCAGCTGACCATATATTACTCCACCAGCTGACCATATATTACACCACCAGCTGACCATATATTACTCCACCAGCTGACCATATATTACTCCACCAGCTGACCATATATTACTCCACCAGCTGACCATATATTATCCACCAGCTGACCATATATTACTCCACCAGCTGACCATATATTACACCACCAGCTGACCATATATTACACCTGACCAGCTGACCATATATTACTCCACCAGCTGACCATATATTACTCCACCAGCTGACCATATATTACACCACCAGCTGACCATATATTACTCCACCAGCTGACCATATATTACACCACCAGCTGACCATATATTAGCTGACCCACCAGCTGACCATATATTACTCCACCAGCTGACCATATATTACACCACCAGCTGACCATATATTACACCACCAGCTGACCATATATTACTCCACCAGCTGACCATATATTACTCCACCAGCTGACCATATATTACTCCACCAGCTGACCATATATTACTCCACCAGCTGACCATATATTACACCACCAGCTGACCATATATTACTCCACCAGCTGACCATATATTACATATCCACCAGCTGACCATATATTACTCCACCAGCTGACCATATATTACTCCACCAGCTGACCATATATTACACCACCAGCTGACCATATATTACTCCACCAGCTGACCATATATTACTCCACCAGCTGACCATATATTACACCACCAGCTGACCATATATTACTCCACCAGCTGACCATATATTACACCACCAGCTGACCATATATTACACCACCAGCTGACCATATATTACTCCACCAGCTGACCATATATTACACCACCAGCTGACCATATATTACACCACCAGCTGACCATATATTACTCCACCAGCTGACCATATATTATATATTACTCCACCAGCTGACCATATATTATCCACCAGCTGACCATATATTACACCACCAGCTGACCATATATTATCCACCAGCTGACCACCACCAGCTGACCATATATTACATATATTACCACCAGCTGACCATATATTACACCACCAGCTGACCATATATTCCACCAGCTGACCATATTATTACTCCACCAGCTGACCATATATTACACCACCAGCTGACCATATATTACTCCACCAGCTGACCATATATATATATTACTCCACCATATATATTACACCACCAGCTGACCATATATTATCCACCAGCTGACATATATTCCACCAGCTGACCATATATTACTCCACCAGCTGACCATATATTACACCACCAGCTGACCATATATTACTCCACCAGCTGACCATATATTACTCCACCAGCTGACCATATATTACACCACCAGCTGACCATATATTACACCACCAGCTGACCATATATTACTCCACCAGCTGACCATATATTACACCACCAGCTGACCATATATTACTCCACCAGCTGACCATATATTACTCCACCAGCTGACCATATATTACATATATTACCACCAGCTGACCATATATTACTCCACCAGCTGACCATATATTACACCACCAGCTGACCATATATTACACCACCAGCTGACCATATATTACTCCACCAGCTGACCATATATTACACCACCAGCTGACCATGACCATATATTACACCACCAGCTGACCATATATTCCACCAGCTGACCATATAATCTCGTTCTTTTTCAATTTTTTTTCTTATCAAACGTTATAAGAATTCACTATGGTGCGTTATCACTGCGTTGCTGTACCCTTCATATGACCAAAAACTATGTTTTGGTCTCACTGGTACGTAAATATCCCAAGAATATTGAAGTAATTCGCGGACCGCACGTCCTACACTTGCTCCCTGACCGCCGTACTGCCTGCCTCCTGTGTGTGTGTGTGTGTGTGTGTGTGTGTACTTACCTAGTTGTGCTTGCGGGGGTTGAACTCTGGCTCTTTGGTCCTGTCTCTCAACTGTCAATCAACTAATGTACAGGTTCCTGAGCCTACTGGGCTCTATCATATCTACACTTGTTGTGTAGATATGTTTGTGTGTTGGTGTGTGTTTGTGTGCATGTGTGGGAGTGCTTGAGTATGTTAGTGTGAGTGTGTGTGTGGTGTGTGTGTATGTGTACTCACCAATTTGTACTCACCTATTTGTGCTTGCGAGGGTTGAGCTCTGACTCTTTGGTCTCGCCTCTCAACCCTCAATCAACAGGTGTACACGTTCCAAAGCCTATTGGGTTCTATCATATCTACACTTGAAACTGTGTATGGAGTCAACCTCCACTTCATCACTGTGCGTGTAATTACCTAAGTGTAGTTACAAGATGAGAGCTACGCTCGTGGTGTCCCGTCTTCCCAGCACTCTTTGTCATATAACGCTTTGAAACTACTGACGGTCTTGGCCTCCACCACCTTCTCACCTAACTTGTTCCAACCGTCTAGCAGTCTGTTTGCGAAAGTGAATTTTCTTTTATTTCTTCGGCATCTGTGTTTAGCTAGTTTAAATCTATGACCTCTTGTTCTTAAAGTTCCAGGTCTCAGGAAATCTTCCCTATCGATTTTATCAATTCCTGTTACTATTTTGTATGTAGTGATCATATCACCTCCTTTTCTTCTGTCTTATGGTTTTTGCATATTTAATGCCTCTAATCTCTCCTCGTAGCTCTTGCCCTTCAGTTCTGGGAGCCACTTAGTGGCATGTATTTGCACTTTTTCCAGTTTGTTGATGTGCTTCTTATGATATGGGCGCCAAACAACCGCTGCATATTCTAGCTTTGGCCTAACAAAAGTCCTGAACAATTTCTTTAGTATATCGCCATCCATGTATTTAAAAGCAATTCTGAAGTTAGAAAGCGTGGCATAGGCTCCTCGCACAATATTCTTTATGTGGTCCTCAGGTGATAGTTTTCTATCTAGAACCACCCCTAGATCTCTTTCTTTATCAGAATTCTTTAAAGATTTCTCACATAATATATAGGTTGTGTGGGGTCTATGTTCTCCTAGCCACATTCCATAACATGACATTTATTAACATTAAATTCCATTTGCCAAGTGGTGCTCCATATACTTATTTTGTCCAGGTCATCTTGAAGGGCATGACAATCATCTAAGTTTCTTATCCTTCCTATTATCTTAGCATCATCAGCAAACATGTTCATATAATTCTGTATACCAACTGGTAGATCATTTATGTAGACAAGAAACATCACTGGTGCAAGAACTGAACCCTGTGGTACTCCACTTGTGACATTTCTCCAGTCCGATACATTGCCTCTGATCACTGCCCTCATTTTTCTATCAGAAAATTTTTCATCCATGTTAGAAGCTTACCTGTCACCCCTCCAATATTTTTCAGTTTCCAGAACAACCTCTTATGTGGAACTCTGTCGAAAGCCTTTTTTAGGTCCAGATAGATGCAGTCAACCCAACCATCTCTTTCCTGTAATATCTCTGTGGCTCGATCATAGAAACTGAGTAAATTCGATACACAGGATCTTTCAGATCGAAAACCATACTGTCTGTCTGATATTATATCATTTCTCTCCAGGTGTTCTACCCATTTAGTTTTGATTAGTTTTTCCAATACTTTCACTATTACACTTGTCAATGATACAGGTCTATAATTGAGGGGGTCTTCCCTGCTGCCACTTTTGTAGATTGGAACTATGTTAGCCTGTTTCCACACGTCTGCTACGACTCCTGTACACAGGGATGCCTGAAAGATCAGGTGAAGTAGAATGCTGAGCTCAGATGCACATTCTCTCAGAACCCATGGTGAAACGCCATCTGGACCACCCCCTGCCACTTCCCACTGGGAATATAGGAATATACAGGGAACTATACAACCTGACCACCATCATCCCATGTGCTTTTAGAGTGGGTTTTAGCTGCATCGTTTAATCTCGGTTATAAATTGTTTTTTGGAATTCAGACCAAACTTTTAATTCACCCGGGCTTAAATTGGAAGTGATTGCATTCCTCAGTAATGTGTTATCATATTGGCGGGGCTTGTATTGTCTGGCAAGCGGCCCCCAGTGGTATGGACCTCACCGGATATATCTTCATTGTTCACACTGGAGTTGTGTAACGATGAAAGAGTGGTTTTAGCGGCACTGTTATGGCTCTAGATAGCAGTGAGTGCAGTCTACGCTATAATGGCAGTGATAGTGACTCCCTAGTGGCTTACTACGATAGTAGTGATAGTGACTCCCTAGTGGCTCACTACGATAGCAGTGATAGTGACTCCCTAGTGGCTCACTACGATAGCAGTGAGTGCAGTCTACGCTATAATGGCAGTGATAGTGACTCCCTAGTGGCTCACTACGATAGCAGTGATAGTGACTCCCTAGTGGCTCACTACGATAGCAGTGATAGTGACTCCCTAGTGGCTCACTACGATAGTAGTGATAGTGACTCCCTAGTGGCTCACTACGATAGCAGTGATAGTGACTCCCTAGTGGCTCAGTACGATAGCAGTGATAGTGACTCCCTAGTGGCTCACTACGATAGTAGTGATAGTGACTCCCTAGTGGCTCACTACGATAGCAGTGAGTGCAGTCTACGCTATAATGGCAGTGATAGTGACTCCCTAGTGTCTCACTACGATAGCAGTGATAGTGTCTCCCTAGTGGCTCACTACGATAGCAGTGATAGTGACTCCCTAGTGGCTCACTACGATAGCAGTGAGTGCAGTCTACGCTATAATGACAGTGATAGTGACTCCCTAGTGGCTCACTACGATAGTAGTGATAGTGACTCCCTAGTGGCTCACTACGATAGTAGTGATAGTGACTCCCTAGTGGCTCACTACGATAGTAGTGATAGTGACTCCCTAGTGGCTCACTACGATAGTAGTGATAGTGACTCCCTAGTGGCTCACTACGATAGCAGTGATAGTGACTCCCTAGTGGCTCACTACGATAGCAGTGATAGTGACTCCCTAGTGGCTCACTACGATAACAGTGATAGTGACTCCCTAGTTGTTCACTACGATAGTAGTGATAGTGACTCCCTAGTGGCTCACTACGATAGCAGTGATAGTGACTCCCTAGTTGTTCACTACGATAGTAGTGATAGTGACTCCCTAGTGGCTCACTACGATAGCAGTGATAGTGACTCCCTAGTGGCTCACTACGATGGCAGTGATAGTGACTCCCTAGTGGCTCACTACGATAGCAGTGAGTGCAGTCTACGCTATAATGGCAGTGATAGTGACTCCCTAGTGTCTCACTACGATAGCAGTGATAGTGACTCCCTAGTGGCTCACTACGATAGCAGTGAGTGCAGTCTATGCTATAATGGCAGTGATAGTGACTCCCTAGTGTCTCACTACGATAGCAGTGATAGTGACTCCCTAGTGTCTCACTACGATAGCAGTGATAGTGACTCCCTAGTGGCTCACTACGATAGCAGTGATAGTGACTCCCTAGTGGCTCACTACGATAACAGTGATAGTGACTCCCTAGTGGCTCACTACGATAGCAGTGATAGTGACTCCCTAGTGGCTCACTACGATAGCAGTGATAGTGACTCCCTAGTGGCTCACTACGATAGCAGTGATAGTGACTCCCTAGTGGCTCACTACGATAGCAGTGATAGTGACTCCCTAGTTGTTCACTACGATAGTAGTGATAGTGACTCCCTAGTGGCTCACTACGATAGCAGTGATGGTGACCTACACTTCAATATTAGTGATGGTGACCTACACTACAATATTAGTGATGGTGACCTACACTACATTATTAGTGATGGTGACCTACAATACTATCGTGAGCCCATCACTACAATACTAGTGATGGACTCACGATAGACTGGTCTATCACGTTGCTCTATCATGATAGATTGGCCAGCAGAAGAACTACTGTTAGTATCTGAGTAAGAAATCATTTAGGACCTTTCAGACAACATATGTCAGACTATTCCTCAAATACGCAGCTTCAGCGAGGAGTCCGTATCTAGTTAAACACTAAATGAACTTAGAGTTCAGAAATTTGTCGTAATATTAGTCAGAACAAAGAGGTGTAATTTAAGAGGAAAAGCTTCAGAAAAGACATAATACAGTATTTGGAAATGGCAGGAATATACACAATGTTCGTGAACTAGGGCAGACAAGGACAGATTATTTAACAAGTGCCATAGTCGAACAAGGGAAGAGAGTGACATTACAAGAATATATATTGTGTGTCAGGTGAGTAGGTGGATATATTATGTCAGGGGAGACAGGTGAGTAGGTGGATATATTATGTCAGGGGAGACAGGTGAGTAGGTGGATATATTATGCCAGGGGAGACAGGTGAGTAGGTGGATATATTATGTCAGGGGAGACAGGTGAGTAGGTGGATATATTATGTCAGGGAGACAGGTGAGTAGGTGGATATATTATGTCAGGGGAGACAGGTGAGTAGGTGGATATATTATGTCAGGGGAGACAGGTGAGTAGGTGGATATATTATGCCAGGGGAGACAGGTGAGTAGGTGGATATATTATGTCAGGGAGACAGGTGAGTAGGTGGATATATTATGTCAGGGGAGACAGGTGAGTAGGTGGATATATTATGCCAGGGAGACAGGTGAGTAGGTGGATATATTATGCCAGGGGAGACAGGTGAGTAGGTGGATATATTATGTCAGGGGAGACAGGTGAGTAGGTGGATATATTATGCCAGGGGAGACAGGTGAGTAGGTGGATATATTATGTCAGGGGAGACAGGTGAGTAGGTGGATATATTATGTCAGGGGAGACAGGTGAGTAGGTGGATATATTATGTCAGGGGAGACAGGTGAGTAGGTGGATATATTATGTCAGGGGAGACAGGTGAGTAGGTGGATATATTATGTCAGGGGAGACAGGTGAGTAGGTGGATATATTATGTCAGGGGAGACAGGTGAGTAGGTGGATATATTATGTCAGGGGAGACAGGTGAGTAGGTGGATATATTATGTCAGGGAGACAGGTGAGTAGGTGGATATATTATGTCAGGGAGACAGGTGAGTAGGTGGATATATTATGCCAGGGGAGACAGGTGAGTAGGTGGATATATTATGTCAGGGGAGACAGGTGAGTAGGTGGATATATTATGCCAGGGGAGACAGGTGAGTAGGTGGATATATTATGCCAGGGGAGACAGGTGAGTAGGTGGATATATTATGTCAGGGGAGACAGGTGAGTAGGTGGATATATTATGTCAGGGAGACAGGTGAGTAGGTGGATATATTATGTCAGGGAGACAGGTGAGTAGGTGGATATATTATGTCAGGGGAGACAGGTGAGTAGGTGGATATATTATGTCAGGGGAGACAGGTGAGTAGGTGGATATATTATGCCAGGGGAGACAGGTGAGTAGGTGGATATATTATGTCAGGGGAGACAGGTGAGTAGGTGGATATATTATGTCAGGGGAGACAGGTGAGTAGGTGGATATATTATGTCAGGGGAGACAGGTGAGTAGGTGGATATATTATGCAGGGGAGACAGGTGAGTAGGTGGATATATTATGTCCTGGACAATGTAGACCAGTAGCGGCAGTGAGAAGGGAGTGGTCAGCTATTGTTATTGTACTTAAACCAGAGGCATGGGAGCAATTCGGCTCCTGTTAATTTTACTTGGACGAAGTGTTATGGAAACCAAAGGTGTACCATCATCAACACGCTGTAAACAAATACAAGTTAAGTGTTCTGCCAAAACCCATTTATCTATCATTTGTGGCCATTAATGTCATTAGATAGGGTAATCCAGTTAGATCACGAGATCGCCTCATACTAAACGTAATTAAGCCTAGGTCTTTATGGTACCTTGTACAGTGTTTTCTCTGATATAGCTGTCATATATTAGGATTCTGGCTTCATAGCTAGCGCCCTTTTGACAGGTCAAGACGAGGAAGCATGCTTTGTGTGCCAGTTACTGGGTGATGGAAGCTACCTCAAAGAGGATAATTTGGTGTCTACATCCTGGTTATACCTGGTGGACTAAGGCCTGCTGTACAATAAGATAAGGAACCTCTTCAATGTGCTAATGTGTAGTTAATACTGTAGTTTGATTGGCTGCATATATATAAATTTAATATGAACCCCCCTAATGTGTAGAGGATCGATTTGTGAGATTATTGTAGAAATACAGTCCACTTATCATCATACAAATTGCTATCGAAGTATATAAATTAATGTAAATATAAATTCATATAAATTAAATAAATATAAATCTCACAGGTCGGTTCCCACAATGTCAGGGGAGACAGGGGAGTAGGTGGATATATTATGCCAGGGGAGACAGGTGAGTAGGTGGATATATTATGTCAGGGGAGACAGGTGAGTAGGTGGATATATTATGCCAGGGGAGACAGGTGAGTAGATGGATATATTATGTCAGGGAGACAGGTGAGTAGATGGATATATTATGTCAGGGGAGACAGGTGAGTAGGTGGATATATTATGTCAGGGGAGACAGGTGAGTAGATGGATATATTATGTCAGGGAGTCAGGTGAGTAGATGGATATATTATGTCAGGGGAGACAGGTGAGTAGATGGATATATTATGTCGGGGAGACAGGTGAGTAGGTGGATATATTATGTCGGGGAGACAGGTGAGTAGGTGGATATATTATGTCAGGGGAGACAGGTGAGTAGGTGGATATATTATGTCAGGGGAGACAGGTGAGTAGGTGGATATATTATGTCGGGGAGACAGGTGAGTAGGTGGATATATTATGTCAGGGAGACAGGTGAGTAGGTGGATATATTATGTCGGGGAGACAGCTGAGTAGGTGGATATATTATGCCAGGGAGACAGCTGAGTAGGTGGATATATTATGCCAGGGAGACAGCTGAGTAGGTGGATATATTATGCCAGGGGAGAGGCGTGTCTGTGCCCACCTCCAGCCGTGTCCGTGCCCACCTCCAGCCGTGTCCGTGCCCACCTCCAGCCGTGTCCGTGCCCACCTCCAGCCGTGTCCGTGCCCACCCCCAGCCGTGTCCGTGCCCACCCCCAGCCGTGTCCGTGCCCACCCCCAGCCGTGTCCGTGCCCACCCCCAGCCGTGTTCGTGCCCACCTCCAGCCGTGTCCGTGCCCACCCCCAGCTGTGTCCGTGCCCACCTCCAGCTGTGTCCGTGCCCACCCCCAGCTGTGTCCGTGCCCACCTCCAGCTGTGTCCGTGCCCACCTCCAGCTGTGTCCGTGCCCACCTCCAGCCGTGTCCGTGCCCACCTCCAGCCGTGTCCGTGCCCACCCCCAGCTGTGTCCGTGCCCACCTCCAGCCGTGTGCGTGCCCACCCCCAGCTGTGTCCGTGCCCACCTCCAGCTGTGTCCGTGCCCACCTCCAGCTGTGTCCGTGCCCACCTCCAGCCGTGTCCGTGCCCACCTCCAGCTGTGTCCGTGCACACCTCCAGCTGTGTCCGTGCACACCTCCAGCTGTGTCCGTGCCCACCTCCAGCCGTGTCCGTGCCCACCTCCAGCTGTGTCCGTGCCCACCTCCAGCCGTGTCGGTGCACACCTCCAGCCGTGTCCGTGCACACCTCCAGCCGTGTCCGTGCCCACCTCCAGCCGTGTCCGTGCCCACCTCCAGCCGTGTCCGTGCCCACCTCCAGCCGTGTCCGTGCCCACCTCCAGCCGTGTCCGTGCCCACCTCCAGCCGTGTCCGTGCCCACCTCCAGCCGTGTCCGTGCCCACCTCCAGCCGTGTCCGTGCACTTCCCCGCCGGCACTCGGATGGTAATCTTGGGCATGGTATTTTATCAAATTACCTCATTGTTTGGGGCAACACGTGAGGAACACAAATGCGAACAAGCCTGAATGGTCCCCAGGACTATATGCAACTGAAAACTCACACCCCAGAAGTGACTCGAACCCATACTGCCAGGAGCAACGCAACTGGAATGTACTGGACGCCTTAAACCACTTGACCATCACGACCAGACATAGAGTCCTGGGGACCATTCAGGCTTGTTCGCATTTGTGTTCCTCACGTGTTGCTCCAAACAATGAGGTAATTTGATTAAATACCATGCCCAAGATTACCATCCGAGTGCCGGCGGGGAAGTGGTTCAAATACCTTCGGCTATCACTTCCTTATGTCCGGTTGTGATGGTCAAGTGGTTTAAGGCGTCCTGTAGTTACCAGTTGCGTTGCTCCTGGCAGTATGGGTTCGAGTCAATTCTGGGGTGTGAGTTTTCAGTTTATATATATATATATATATATATATATATATATATATATATATATATATATATATATATATATATATATATATATATATGTCGTACCTAGTAGCCAGAACGCACTTCTCGGCCTACTATGCAAGGCCCGATTTGCCTAATAAGCCAATTTTCATGAATTAATTGTTTTTCGACGACCTAACCTACCTAACCTAACCTAACCTGACTTTTTTGGCTACCTAACCTAACCTAACTTATAAAGATAGGTTAGGTTAGGTTAGGTAGGGTTGGTTAGGTTCGGTCATATATATTTACGTTAATTTTAACTACAATAAAAAAAAATTGACCTCATACATAATGAAATGGGTAGCTTTATCTTTTCATAAGAAAAAAATTTGAGAAAATATATTAATTCAGGAAAACTTGGCTTATTAGGCAAATTTGGCCTTGCATAGTAGGCTGAGAAGTGAGTTCTGGCTACTAGGTACGACATATATATATATATATATATATATATATGTTTCATTGAATATGACCGCATATTCTGTATTTACTATCTTTTGATTTAGGGCTTCTATCCCTCTAACTATTTTCTTAGCATCAGGGCTAAGCTGAAATAGGAGTTCTCCAAAACTCATTTTCGTAATTTCAAGGAGAAGAAAAG